CAATTTCAGACTCCTCCCCCCTAGGTTGGATCCATCTGAAATACTCGCTTGATTTAGATCTTTAGGCCTAACTAACGCGTTCTGATTGGACGGGCGTTGTTCGGCGTTGGTTCTGGCGGCCGATTCCTCCCCAGCGCCCTCTCCCCGTTCCGCATTCCGATCACGCGGCGCAGCCGCGCTTCGCGGCCGCTAGGCCGTGCTTTGGCCGTGGGTGAGGGTTAGGGTTAGGGTAGATGTGGGGTGAGCAACCTAGTCTTGCTCACGTGAAGAATCTAGCCTTGCTACGTTCAACATCGGTTAGTCCTACAGAGATACTATCAAAGTATATCCAAGGCTCCTTCCGTCGCCAGCCGTAATCCCGGAGGGGCGACCGTTTGCGGCCTACGCCACTTATTTATCGGGTGAGACTGTTTTCGTGCNACAGAGATACTATCAAAGTATATCCAAGGCTCCTTCCGTCGCCAGCCGTAATCCCGGAGGGGCGACCGTTTGCGGCCTACGCCACTTATTTATCGGGTGAGACTGTTTTCGTGCTGTATTATCTTCACGAGAGGTAGACGACCGTCCTTCACACGGACGAAAGAAAGAGGAAGTGCACCACATGAGCAGCTCCTACACCAAGGAGGAGCCCCGTGACTCATCGCGGTGCCCCCTACCAAACGGCAATCTTACCAATCTGTGTGACACCAAAATCATACAGCACATGTATCCAACACCAATGTTCGCAGACCCACGAACAACCTCCCTGGTACTTCACGCAAGTGACTAACCATCAATGGGGCAAGAACGCCCCTGGATACATCAGAAATACCAACATGGTAATATTTGGAGGGGAAACCCGGCGTCCGGGCAAAACCCCTCGAATAAACCCCTACCACCACAAAAACCGTCCCTTNAATCATACAGCACATGTATCCAACACCAATGTTCGCAGACCCACGAACAACCTCCCTGGTACTTCACGCAAGTGACTAACCATCAATGGGGCAAGAACGCCCCTGGATACATCAGAAATACCAACATGGTAATATTTGGAGGGGAAACCCGGCGTCCGGGCAAAACCCCTCGAATAAACCCCTACCACCACAAAAACCGTCCCTTTCACAGCGGATCACAACGGCCGCACTTATTAGAAAGTCCAAGGCAAGTGCTAAAAACTGCTACAGCTTTTTCTCCGGCAAATTCATCAACTTGCGCCGGTGGTATTGCAGGCTGGCCCTGCTAAGGGCCTGGGTAAGGAGGTCCGCGTGTTGCTCCGTTGTCGGAACAAACTTGACCGTAATATCCCCCGACCTAAACAATCCGCGGATGAAATGAAACCTCACGTCGATGTGTTTCGTGCGACCTGAGCTGAGGGGGTTCTGCACTAANGGGTTCTGCACCAACGCCATGCCCCCCTGGTTGTCCTCAAGGACCTGGATGCTGCTACCTCTGGTCTCTGGGGCAACAAACGAAAGCACAGCACGCATAAACAACGCCTCCTTGACACCCTCCCCGGCAGCAATGTGCTCGGCTTCCGTCGAAGACAAAGACACGATGCTCTGCTTCTTGCTACCATGGCTGACTACGGTACCTCCGCCCGTCGTCGCCAACCCTGACACCGAACGCCTATCCTCCGTGTCGGCGTAGCTAGCGTCTACGTACACGGCCAGCCCTAACCCCGATCCCCGTTGGTAGGTGATGCCGAGGTCCCTCGTCCCTTTCAGGTAGCCGAGGATCTTCTGTATGGCATCCCAGTGCCGCTTCGCCGGGGCGTGGGCGTGGCGCGCTACCGCACGCACGGCGAACGAGACGTCTGGACGCGAGAAAGTCGACACCCACATCATGCTGCCGATGGCCTCCCTCACCGGCCACTCCCCTCCTTCCTCATCCTCTCGCTTCGGCCCTAGATCGGCACCAGGGGTAGCGGGGATGCGGGAAGTTGATTTCACATCGAAGCGTTCAACCATGCTGTCGAT